ACCCAAAACTTTAATTCAAAAGAACATAAGCACCCCTATGTTCATTGCAGCATTATTTACAATTGCCAGGATATGGAAGTAGCCCAGGTGTCCATCAGTAGATGAGTGGATAAAGTAACTATGGGACATTTACACAATGGAATACTAATTGGCCCATAAAAAAGAAGAAAATTTTACCCTTTGAGAAAGTATGGGTGGGCCTGAAGAACATTATGCTAAGTGAAATAAGCCACTTAGAGAAAGACAAACACCATATGATTTCACTCATGTGGAATCTAATGAACAAACTGAACTAACAAACAAAACAGAGACAGACTCATAGATAGTGGGATGACAGCTAAGGGTCGGGGAGGTTAGCGGGTAGAGGGACTGAGCAAAAACAAAAAGGACTCATGGACACGGACAACAGTGTGGTGATTGCTGGGGGTAGGGGTGTATAAGGGGACTAAATGGTAATGGAAAAAAAAATACAATAAAAATTTTTTTAAAGAAAGGAGCTGCCCTGGCTGGGGTGGCTCAGTGGATTGAGTGTTGGCCTGTGAACCAAAGGGTCGCCAGTTTGATTCCCAATCAGGGCACATGCCCGGGTGTAGGCCAGGTCCATGGTGGGAGGTGTGTGAGAGGCAACCACACATTGATGCCTCTCTCCCTCTCTCCCTTCCCCCTCTCTAAAAATAAGTAAATAAAATATTTTTTAAATCTTTTAAATTTTTATTATATTTTTAACTGTTGTTCAAGTACAGTTGCCTGCATTTCCCCCCTCATCCCCCACCCCATAAAATCTTAAAAAATAAAATAAAAAAACTTAATAAAAAGAAAGGAGCTTCATGTAATAATGATGCAGCTTTCTGGAACGGCCCCCCTGTCTTTCTCAATGAACTTCGGTTTCAGTGTGTATAACCTCTCCTTTCCTCACGCTCTTCAGCAGCAGATTTTTTTTATCAGCAAGTGGCCATTTTATTTTTACATTTGTCCATGAGATATAATATATGCTCCCTGCTATTACTGGTGTTGTTACACCTGAAGAAATGAAGGCTCAGAAAGATGAAGTGATTTGCCCAATATCACACATTAGAAATAGGAGTTTTATGTCTATTGGCTAATCAGATCCACCTCCAGACTCCCATGAAAAATAAGCCTTTAAAACATCTGATACAGCCCCCGCTGGTGTGGCTGAGTGGATTGAGTCCCAGCCTGTGAAACAAAAAGTCACCAATTTGATTCCCAGTCAGGGCACATGCCTGGGTTGTGGGCCAGTTCCCTAGTGGGGGTGTGAAAGAGGCAGCCAATTGATATCTCTCACACATCAATGTTTCCATTCCTCTCTTTCTCCCTCCCTTCCCCTCTCTCTAAAAATAAATAAATAAAAATTTAAAAATAAAATAAAGTTAAATGTCTGATACAGGGCCCTGGCCAGTGAGGCTCAGTTGGTTGGAGCATCGTCCCATAACCGAAAGGTTGCAGGTTTGATTCCTGGTTCAGTGCCTGTGATTCCCAGTCCAGGTGTGTACTGGAGGCTACCAATCCACGCTTCTCTCTTGCATCAATGTTTCTCCCTCTCCCTTCCTCTCTCTCCAAAACCAATGAAAAAAAAAAAGTCCTCAGGTGAGGATAAAAAAGAAGTCTGATATATACAACATGAATGTTGAAAACATTGTACTAAGTAATGTAAGCCAGACAGAAAATGACAATTATTGTATGGTTCCATTTATATAAAATGTCCAAATAGGCAGACTCATAGAGACAGAAAACAGATAGAGGCATAGAGGCTATCAGGGCCTGGAGGGAAGAAAGGATTGAGAATTACTGTTTAATAGGTACAGAGTTTCTGTTTGGAATGATGAAAAAGTTCTGGAAATGGAGAGTGGTGATGGTTGTACAACACTGTGTATATTTAATGTTACTAAATTGGGCACTTAAGGCTCATTCAGATTTTACCAGTTTTACAGGCACTTGTGTGTGTGTAGTTCTCTGGTTGTGATATTGTATGGCAGTTGTACAAGCTGTTATCACTGGGGGGGGGAGGTGAGGACATTCATGTACATGTCTTTGTAACTTTCTGTGAGTAAAAAGTAACACAAACATTTAATACCTACCGAGAACAAAAGAGAGGACTGGGGTCAGATTCCAAACCAACTTGAGGGCAAATGTAATCCCTGGTCCTGGTTTTCTGTGTGAGAAATGACCCTTCATTGCCCTGGAAGAGCGCTCTCTGCTCCTCAGGAGTGGCTCTCACAGGGCTTGTGGTTCGAAAGAGGATGACGCACAGACTGCGAACCTTCCTTTTTTAGACAACGTGTGCAATCTGTCATCGCATTCTTTCCAAGAAGTTAAATGAAAGACTTAGGAAAGACTCCGCTCTGTCCTTACCAAGGTTCTGTCACAATCCGGAAGTCACTGGTTCTAAAATAAGAGTGAGCTGGTGTTTTCACTTTGATTCTCCCTTGATTAAAAGAAAAATCAAAACCAAAACTCGCTGGCAGTAATAGGTGGCTTTCAGAAAATCCTCAAGTAAAAATGCGTCATTGCAATATTTGTTATCATTGAGAGCATGGAAACAAAATGACTTAAATTGATGTTTATTTATTTAATCAAATGCAGTTCCTTATGCTGCATTTCTGTAAGTAGCCAGTCAACATTGCTGCAGGTTAGTAAGCTGCAGAAGGCACTGAACATTTAAATAAATCAGGGACCTCTTTGCCTAGGCTTGCGGTTCATCACACAAACACCCCAAGTGAGTATTAACGCATGAAACCAACACAGGATTTATCTGGGAATTGGATTCTACTAACTGCTTAATAAGTTAGACTTTTTAGAATAGTGAACTTCTAAAATGGCAGATCCTTATTTAAAAAGACAAATACTCTGCCCTGGTTGGCATAGCTCAGTAGATTGAGCGCGGGCTGCGAACCAAAGTGTCGCAGGTTCGATTCCCAGTCAGGGTACATGCCTGGGTTGCAGGCCATGACCCCCAGCAACTGCACATTGATGTTTCTCTCTCTCTCTTTCTCCCTCCCTTCCCTCTCTAAAAAATAAATAAATAAAATCTTTAAAAAAAATAAGAAGACAAATACTCTCACTCACATATTGTTGGTGGAATTGTAAATTGGTACAACTTTCTTTGGAGATGTTGGCAGTAAATATGCAACATCATAAAAATATTTTTATCTTCTGATCTAGTAATTTAATTTCTGGGAATTTATCTAAATCAAGTAATTAAAATGAAGACATAAACTATGTTACAAAGATGTTCCTAACAACCCTCTATATAATAACAGCATCCAGAAAATAACTTAAATGCCAAATAATAATGTTTAAATAAATTATGAACTTCTACCCCAATGGGATATTACATAGCTATGAAGAATGAAAAACATACTATATACCAAATGTAAAGGTATTTGTAAAACAATTCAAAATTCTTGAAGCATTTCATAGAAGGGAATGCATCTATGAATTATCTTCCATGGACAAGCAACATCTAAAGCAATGAACGAAAGTGAAAACTCACATCCTTGGGTCTGTTTAATAGATTTTTATAAAATGCAAAGAAATAGAAGCTGTTTCCAAGTTGAGAGTGGGAAAATTCAAACTTGTGGAAATCCTTCCAAATGTTCCAGTTGTGCTCTGAGACAAGGCATGCCACATTAGCGCTAGGGCTGACTTTCACAGCAGACTGCACGGAGAGCAGCAGGCTATCTTTCAAATGCTCTGGATATAGTAACTTGTGGGCTGAAGAGGACAAAATGAGCCCTGGCTGGTGTGGCTCAGTGGATTGAGTGCCAGCTTGCAAACCAAAGGGGTGCTGGTTTGATTCCCAGTCAGGGCACTTGCCTGGGTTGTGGGCCAGGTCCCCAGTAGGGAGCTGTATACACGAGAGGCAACCACATTGATGTTTCTCTCCCTCTCTTTCTCTCTCCCCCTCACTCTAGAAATAAATAAATAAAATCTTTAAGAAAAGATTACAAAAAGATTCTCAGGGGTTGCTACTGAGCACAAAACTGCCAGTATCTTACATGTAGAGTCTCTTGGAAGCATGAAAGGTATTTTGGAATAAGATTTTCAAAAAAATCACAAAGGTCCAGATTTGGCTGCCCTCAAACACCCTCAAGTGGCCGAGTGGCCACATCTCCTTTCTCTAAGTTAAAGGAAGGGAAATGATCTGTCTTTTGTGTCTGCCTTTGGTGCGGATCGCTGGCACTTACATTTACACACCTGTCCCTAAATTCTGAGTGTTTAATTGAACTCAGTAATGCTGCTGCACTGCACGGCCTGACTCATCAGGACATGAGATCATGTCCTTTTTTGCGTATTAGCTCAATGTCTCAACGCTGGGACCAGAGTGAGAGCATTAAGGCAAAGTACAAGGCTGTTTCTAATTTTGCCAGGAGAAGGAGTAGTAGTTACATGTTTGGACTTGAATGGAATATCCTACTAGGTTGCATGCTACAGAAAAGGGAGAATTTATAGAAGTATCGAAGATTAGTGGGCTAATAATTAAGCAGAGGAAGCCAACATATGAAACTGGAAAACAGGGTCTGTCTGGACCAAGCACACGAAGTCACACATACACATGGAGATGCATGCACAGGGCATGAGGGGAGAGCCTGGTGTCCCCGTTGGGGGGCGTGCCTACACAGCCCTTCAAGCTGGTGTTTCCTGGTTGCCACTCCGACTACAGTCTTGCAGTGGACAAGGGAGAACCAGGAACCTGTCAGATGGATGAATGAGTCTGTGCGTGTATCCAACTGGGTTATAATTCACCTAAGGTCTATTCCGGCTGGATAGCTAGAGCTGGCACCCAGACTTTTCCCACTAGGGGCCCTGGAGGCACCACATGACTATGAGCAGGCCAGGCTTCCTGTGCACAAGTTCCCCAGAACCAGGTCTAAGGACTGGCCACTGGCCCATCCTTCGGCCTCCATCACTTCTTTCTCATCAACCCAGAAATTCCCAGTTGCCAACATTCCCTTGAGAATAGGGGACAGAGGTAGCCACACTTGGAAAGAAGATTGCTTTGCACTTTATTTACAACAGAATGTAAGAAAAAGTAAGTTATTAACAATAATAAATAACTGGGAAAACCCCCCCACAAAACAGCCATAAAATGACACAGAAGGATGGCGTGTGTGAAGGTCACTGTTTGTTTGCTTTGCTTGGAGTCTGTAACACTGTGCATTCCAAAGCTTGGTCCTTCGGCAGCGGCAGTGGTGTATCGACCCACTGACCTAATCGAGATCCCAGCTTGAAATGTAAACACTAAAAATTACACTTGCAGCTACGCAGAAGGGGCATAGGTATAACGCCAACTCAAAGAATCTCTGCTTGGTGATACGTAGAAACTGAAGGCGGACTTGCAATTCAAGACATACTTTCAATTTTAAGCAAAAACATCCTAAAGCATTTATTAACAACAAAATTACAGTTAATGACATCTGCAAAGTTCTCAACATATTCACATTCTCTTATTGCACTAACTCCTAAGAAGCTTAAACATTTACATTTCAAATGCAAACAGATTGTTTTGAAGGTAAAACACAGAAGAACCTGGTGTTGCCTCGGCATGCCAATGCTGTGCAATCAATCGTGTAACATTTCAGTTCTGACAAGACGGTTGTTTTAGGTAGTCTACCCATGACCCATTACAGTCACTGGACAGATTAGGAAAAAAAAAAAAATCTCAGATGGCAGATTGCCACCTAGCCTGCTGAGTCAGATGATCAGAAAGGGACTAAAACTAGACAATTCTTGTTTATTGAATTATCTGAATGCATACAACATGTAAAAACCATACTCTGGCCCTTCTGAAAAAGTAAAATTCCTATTGACCAAAACCAGCCAATGACCTTGTTGTCTCTGAGCTGTGAAGAGATATTAAAGAAAGAATTTAAAAACACACATAAACACATTAAGCCTTGAAATTTTCACAGAAAAATGATTTCTCGAGAAGTGTCAGAATCTACTCTTAGGTCACTGTTCACTACAGTGCCTTGACAGAAAACCACAATTACTTTTGGGGTCTTGGGTTTAAGTGCCTGCATTACACAACCACGACTGTGCTTAGAAATGTATACTCACAACCAAAAACATGGCTAACAAGTACCTCCAACTGTATCAAAGCCATTCCTCCCACACAGAGGCAAAACCGTAACAGAAGAGTTTATAAGTGAGCCCGCCCATGGGCACGCATTGGGTCTGCTCTCACGGTGGCAACTGAACCTTGTCGTGGCCTCCTTTGCTCTGCTTTATGACAGGCCAAAAGCAAAAATAATGAAGGGGTCTTCAGAGCTAACTCTTGACAAAGTTATGCGGTAGGAACACCGAGACCTTCCTATCGGGGAAAAGCAGTCAGAGCTACCACGCTGTACCACAGCCAGCGGAAGCACAGTGCGTTTCCTCTCTGAAATCCACCCAAAGTGATGCTGTCTGCAGACACCACCATAGCCTGCACAAGCATCAGAGGTGGAGATGGTGTGCACACGTGTTCTTCTGTGGGTTATTTACTCTGATTCAGCTACCAAGACTTGAAAGTGGTGGTGTCTGACTCACTACACTATATTTATATATGTATATATATATACACACAGGTATAATACAGTTTTGGTGAACAAAGTTGAAGGTTTCCACATTGCAGACAGAGGCACTGAGTTAAAGATTCTATTTTCCCGCAAACATGCTTAACGAATTCAAGTTTCTGCTTTTTTTCTTCTTCTAAGTTTCCATCATGCTGCCATTTAATTTCCATTCTTATAGGAATTATTAACGTTCTATATACACATTCATTGCAGGCTAGTACCCCACAATAAACAAAAGCATGTACGGAGAAAATGTCAAATGACCCTTGAAAATCAAGATAGATTAAAATATAAATCATTTATGCCAGTGATGAGTGGATTAAATATTCGAAGCGGCTAAAGGAATATACACACCCCCCTTTATTAAATGCACACAAACCACATGGAGACAGAAAACTGAACATATTTTAAGAGCACACACATTTGATAGCTAAAAATCAGACTTATCGTCGGCAGTTTGTAATTGTTACCTGTGGCATTGTGCAGGCCGTGAGAGAAAGAAAACTCACAGAAGGAAATCAGAAATTAGCTTTCTAAAGCACAGAGAACTGTTGACCTTGAGAGCGGAAGCAGCTTTACAAAGAGCAATGGCATTCATGGAATCTCTAGGTGTCAGATGTGTTAACAACTTGCACAAAAACTGGTTCTATTAGAAAATGATCCCATCCGCTCCTGACTTCAGCTTGCGAATAAATGGTAAGCAAATACACATACACTACTACCACCTGATGAAAACAGAATTTTGCTTCCTAAAGCCAAACATTCTTGTTAAGTACTGTGGAGAGGGAGTCATTGAGAAGTCCAAGGGGTTTGTAAAAGATTGTTTTCCCACAAGCAAAAATCATGCTACTATACCATGCAAGGGTGTCTTACTACAATGCTATCTTCTTAACGAAGAGATGCACTGTTGATCTAAACTATTTGCAACTGGTTTCCTTTGAGTTCTGGGCTTATTTATTTATTTATTTATTTTTTGAGCTAAATATCAACCTGTAGATAAAGAAATGAGCTTGACAGTCTGATGTAGAAATTACACTCATTTGGTGCTGGGCTCATGGGGCCAGCATCTGCACCTTGGGAGTTTGTCCACTTGAAAGACACGTAGAGGAGTGGGCAGGGTCCACGGGCTGAGAGGCTGGGACAGAGGAGAATACGCTCCTCAATCTGTGGGTTTCCTTTGGAATCTGTTTTGGGAAGGTCCCTTTCCTGAGGTTGGAGGTTACGGTAAGGAAGGCTAGCTGGGGGCTTGCAGTTGCCCAACTACCTTGCTGTCTTCCTCTCGTGGAGGACACCAATCAATGCTAGATTCTGCTTGCCCTTCCTTCTGTGTTTAAAGGCAGTGAGGTGCGAAGGTGGCAGGTTTTCCCTCTTAAGATCAAAGGAGAGTTCTCTTTCTGCCACTTTGGTGAGTGATCTCGCCTCCCAGTCAACCTTGAATCTAATCTTGCCTTAGTGACACTTGCTGAAAAGAAAGCCAGACAGAGGGGCATCTTCAGTCTCTCCTTCTTTTTACTCTACAAATAAAGACTGGACAGTTCTGTTCACTCTCTTCTCCCACTTGACAGTATTTACTCAACTTCTGTGACATTCCCAATACTCTGGTTTCACGTAAGGAGCGAGAGAATGACAGTCTTTTCTAAGGTCTGGTGATGGGCTGTGGGTTCCAGAAAGTCTGGATGTTATTAAAAGTAAAATCAGGAAGAAGATGAGAGACAATTCTCATTTTTAGGGTTTCCCCGGACCAGACATTCTGACAGAATTCAAGTCCTGTTAGCTTACTCTATCTACCCTTGAACTTCTTTGAATGGGCCAGTAGTCAATGAATTCTAATTGCAAATTCTGAGAATCTTCATGGGTGATGGAAGCTGACAGGTTAAGGTTTGTTGGTACATGTAGAGGAAGATGTTCATCTTACCCAGGCCTCCTGGTTCCTAACTCAACCCTTCCAAAACCTGCCAGTGAAGGTTACATTCACCCACGCAATTCTTAAGATTTCTGAGGCCACGAGGGCACAAAGGGGAAAGTTATTAAAAGACAGAAGTGGAATATTTATTAAATTCTGTGAAAGGTATAAATAAGTCATCATTAATTGCACTTGGAGCCTCTGTGGGTTGATAAATTTTCAAAAAATTTTAAGTGTTAATTAGGCCCCAAATCCTGAGTCAGACTAACCAAAGTAGTAATCTTAGTAACTAGTCGTATTCAAGTATTGGTGATGAGCAGTTCAAAATTTAACAATTAGGTATGTTATGCCTGAGAGTATTTTTGAGAATTTCAGGTTTGATGGGAGGAAACTGACTTACTATTTTACCACACCTTGTAACACAGTGGTGTGAAGTTGTCATTTATTTACCCTTAAAGTCCACACCGACCTCGTCAGGTGCCCAATAACAAGGCTTCCTCTCTGGCTGCAGCTGTGGCTACAGAAGATGCCTTTTGTCCTTTGCATGTCTTACATTTTGCATCTAACATGATGCTGTGTGGCATATTGAGGGATTCATGTTATATGTGAAATTACTTAACCACATGCACACTTAGAGATTAAAGGAACATGTTTGAGTGACAAAGCAGTCTTTTGCTATAGAAGAGTCTTTAAAAAACAAACACAAACAAACAAAAAAACCCAAAGAACAAAAACCAAAACCACCAACCCTGGAAACAAAAATATAAAACCCCATGAAATATTCAGGTGGAGTTACTCTGATTTGGGCTGGCATGGCTTATCCGAAGAGGGCGCGCCAGGTAAATTCAGGGTGGCTTTTTTTTCGGGGTCTGGAAGCGTGAGAGTTTCTGGGGCAGACTTTTTCCGGGGTCGATCTTTGGGAACGGACAGAAACTCGGGCGCGTCTGTGGACAGAGGAGTGGATGGAGCGCTGGAAGGGGCGCTGCGGACGGAGGAAGGCAGCAGGGGAATGCTCGAGATAGAAATTGCAGGTGGGAAAACGCCAATTTTCTTGTTGGTGGCTTCCTGAGTGGCGCGTTCAAATTCTCGGACTTCATCCATTGTCATGTCTTCAAAGAAAAAAAGACAGAAAGGAAAATTAGCAGCTATTTAGAAGGGGTACAAATGCTTTCATCTCTATGCCAGTTTTTAAGGGACCTACAGGAACACTACTACAATAAGGGGCCCCTCTGGTTTATAAACCCAAATCATCACTGAAAGGCTAAACCCTGGACACCCTGAATTTTTCCTTCCTATAAAGGCAAACCTCTGAAGCAGTAGTCCCTTATGGATATGCATCCAAGACTTCCCCAAACACTCTTCGGTGAGCGTTTGATGTATTCTGAATAAGGAAAAAACGGGAGAGTACAGAACCGGACCGGAGCAGTGTATGTATGTGAGGGTGCAACTACTGTCAGACCTGGCCATATTCTGTACAAAGGGAAGGAAATTAAAACAATCAATGACTCCAGAATGATGCATACAAGGAGTGGCAAAAGTAGGTTTAAAGCTGTATGTGAAAGTTTATTCTTGGATTATAATTGATTATTATATTATTTTTTGTATGAACACTGTTCTGAAAGGAACACTGTAACTTATTTTTGCCCTACCCTGATAAATAATAGGTCACATAAGAACATATGAGCAGCCCTGGCTGGTGTGGCTCCGTGAATCGAGAGCTGGCCTGTGAACCGAAGTGTCGCCGGTTCGTTCCCAGTCGGGGCACATGCCTGGATTGTGGGCCAGGTTGCTGGTGGGGGATGCACAAGAGGCAACCACACATTGATGTTTCTCTCCTTCTCTTTCACCCTCCCTTCCCTCTCTCTAAAAATAAATAAATAAAACCTTTTAAAAAAGAGAAAGAACATATGAGCAAATCGGAAATACTTTTCAAAAAAAATTTTTTTAAGCAGATTTCCCCGAAACAATTATTAAATTGTTTAAAGGGAACGTTTTTACAAAAGAAGTATAAAATTATGGCTATGTGGATATAAAATTCAGAATAGAACAAGAAAAATTGTACCTGTAACCTTACCACTTGTTAAAAAAATAATATGACTATTCAACACGCTTTAAAAAATGAGATTATGTTTTAAAGAAAGAGGTTTTGCAAAATGAAATTGAGACTCTGGAAAAATTTCAGTAACTTGGGGGTCTGTGTCTGCTATATTAAACGGGTATCACCCTGGGCAAACTGGGCTTTGTAAAAAAGCAGCCGAAGACAGTGCTCTACTCCACACACCCAGCAGAGAGCAGAGATGGCCCACAGTACACCAGGATTTTGATTTCCCAGTCCCTTCCAAGAGTCTCTTTGAAGTTCCCTTCCGTGAAGGGACTGAAACTGCTCAACTGAAAAGGAAATTATTTCCTTATTGCTGTGAGCACAGGTGTTAATTTTGTATACTTTCAATCTAATTTGTTCCTACTCAGGTTGATGATTTAAATGTTACTGAACACCCATGCAGTTTTAATTTGTGCCAGACAGCAGCCTCTTGATTTCAACTGTTTTTCCTTATGATAGAGAAGAGAGACAATGGAAAAATAAGTAGTCCCCAATTTGGAGGAATTCCACAGAATAAGGGAAATATTGTAAGCATTCAAAATAACCACTCTGTGTAACTTCACGCAGGTGGGCATGTCTCTCGCTGAAGCCCTGGGAATGCCGATGAGTTGCAGCCAGAGAATGCATGGGTTTTCCCATGGGGAGAATCATTCCAAGTACCATTGTCTACCTGGTAAACTCTCCTTCTAACACCAGTAATCGCAGTAAAACGAAAAGAAAAGCAAGCAAAGAGGCTAGAGCCTAAAGCTGCAAGAACTCGGAATGAGACAAGCACTGTGCTTAGTATGTTTGGACTGTGGCACCTCCCCCTTTCCTGCTTCCTTTGCCTGGTCATGCTGACAGTGGGCATCTTTCAGACAGCAGCTGAGGGGGAACTGGTGTCTAACATTCCTAAAAGAAAAGGTAACTGAAAAGTGATGACAGTTCAAGGACAGTTTCCGTAAGGAGCACGCATTTCTAATTTGAGAGCTAGGGAAGGGGGAGGGGTCAGTCGTACTAGTCTGCGCAGAGAGAGGATCACCTGGGCTAAACCTTGGGACAGGGGTTTTCTGCAACTCTGACCACTGCATGCAAAACAGGGAGGGAGAATCAGGGCCATTTCAACCTCCTCGTCACATGCATTCGATTGCCGCCTTGCAGGGCACATTCCAAAGGCATGCTCTTAAAACTTAACTGAAGATTTCCAAAGTGCAACCAAAGGCCTTCACAATTCCAAAGCATCCATTTACAGCAATAGCCACTGCTCAATCTTTTATAACTACATCATCCATTTCTTAAAAACCTAATTAATGTTATTATTCTGGGGCATGCAGGCTCAAGCTGGCACCCAAAGAGATCACAGGTCTGGCCAAAGGTACATACAAATAAATGACTCAGTGACTACATTTTTCTTTGTCATCTGTATCTCCTCTTCACTAGCACGAATGACTGAGACATAATTAGATTTAAAATGCTGGCATACACCATACCATTAGCTGTCCATTTCTGATGTGCAAGGGAATAACCTCAGGCTCCGGGGGATTAAGTCCCAGGCTGGATCTGGCACAGTCCCTGCTCACCACCCCTTCGCTGCGCAGCCAGTGTGTGTGAACAGACCACAGACCCACCCTGATATTAACCTAGCCATACAAAGCATTTTGAAGCAAATGTAAAGATCCCTAAGATGCCAGGTGGGCCAGAAGCCTTTCCTTGAATGAATAACTGTTACCCATGTTTTTAAGTTACTGATGTGAAGTTCTAGTTTTCTTAGGGCACCTGATTTCACCCCTCTGTTTTTTTATGGTGCAGGCCAGGCCATTCTAGTACCACAAAATGTTTCCACTCTCCGTGTCCTTGGATTTGTGACCACCACAACCCGCCAAGTCCAGTGGCTTTAAAGAATTGAAATGTCTGGAAGCAAGAGGTGACACTGTCCAATTTAGACCCAGCTCAGGTTCTTAACCAACAGCCTCTGGGCGACGGCACTTTTTGTGGAAGTTTCAGAATTGAGCGTTTGCGGCATTTCAAAGATCAGTTGATGTATATGTTTTGTGAAGGGTGGGCAACATGTTTTAAAAATTCTACATACACTTGTTTGGGCATGGCTCTCTATGGCATCCACAGTGGAGGAATGCTGATTGCAAACTTTTATGTTGGTTTGTTCATGCATGTTTTTCTCGTATTCCCGAACATCATCCATTGTCATATCTGAAAGAAGGTCAAGACGTTGGCAACTTCCGTTATTAAATGCAAACTTTCAATGGGGAAGCTTTAGGGAAAAACGGTAGCTTAGCAGAAGCCAAAGAGAGGTTTAAAAAGCAGGGGATTCACTAACTTTATGAAGAGTGAATCATAAAGTTAGCCAAACCAGCCAAAGGGGGGGTGAGTACGAGGAAGTGAAGTCAAAACAGTCTCAGAACAGAGAAGAGTGGAAATTATTTAGGGGTGGCTCTTGAAGAGTGAGCTGAGTGGGCAGAGTGTTAGCACGTGGGCAGCGCCGCAGGCTGAGATCTCCTAAACCAGAGTTAGAAGATCCCTTCAGGGATAGGCTCAGCTTTGCCTGGTTTAACACTTACCTTCCATATACCTTTCCAAATAGATTCTTTCAGCCAGTGCATTCAACAACAGAAAGGACGCTTTCATTGCTATTATAGGAGGCGTGGCATATAAGGCAGAGAAACGGCATTGACTGGCACAAGTGAGGCCGGGTGTGATGCTCGCACAGGGGTGGGTCTTTGCACAGAATATAGGTGTCAGAGTGCAGGTCTGCACCGAACCTCAAGTCTAGCCTAACAGCTTGAAGATGGCTGGCACTACTCACACCTACCTTCTTCTATAAATAAACTGGTACATGACATTATGATTCTTGGCCCGAGTCTGCAGTTTTTCAGTATTTCAGGATAATGATCTGTTAATCTAGTGGTTCTCAATGGGGTACAATTTTGTGACATTATGACTATCACCATTGGGATGCCCCCCTTCTTCCAGCAAAGAATGATTTGGTCCAACAGCCAATGGTGCTGAAGTTGAGAAACAGTGTCCTAATCCAGCGGATATAAAACTCCTAACACAGAACCCGTCCACTTTCAGTATGTGAAGTGCATAAAAATAACAGTTAGTCTCTCTGAATACTTTTGTTGTTCTCTCCCGCATCCCCCCACCCCCCCGCCACTACTCCTTGGCTGTATTACTGCATTTTATCAGCAGGTTCCCCAGACGGGCATTCTTCTGGTGCTCTCATGGCAGAATTTAACTTCGTGCCTCTTTACAATAAAGGTATGCTGAGCAATTGGTTAGTTGGCCACTCTGATCACTAATGATCTTGGGGATTTAGAGCGGGTGTTCACAGCTGTTAATTTTTCCTTACGTATTTTCTGCATCATGGGTTTGGTGTGTTTTTATATCAATCCATGTGTGTCATGTGAGACTCTCTTTATCTCCAAAGGGCAGACTTGCCAGAAGTTTACGATTTCATGCAGTGTGGTCTGGGGCCAAGATGGAGGACAGCTCTAAATCCAGACCTGGGCTATGTTATTTAATGCATGATTCCCACCCCTCCGCAAACCCGTCAATGAAGGATGCTGTCCATAGCAATGTAAGTATCAAGAATGCTAAGCAGCAGTCTGGCCAAGCAAAGAGCATGCTTTTCTTTTAGAAAATCAAGGTAACTGGAAGCAATAAAGAGATGCTGCTTTGTGATTAGAACAAATGCACCTTAGTTAACAAAAATAACACATTCTTTCAATACAATCACTTTAATTTCTATGGCTGGTTATCAACATTTCTTAAACACAGATATACCTGGAATGAATACTGAGATCATTTTAAGCTAAAAGTTTAAAGTTTACAGAAATTTCTCTGTATTTAGGTTCACTTAACACTTTTCTTTCCTACCCCTCACTGCGAGGGTAGGAATGTGGAAAACAAAAACAAAGGCACTTTAGTTTCTTTGTTCTAGTGAATTCCAACACAAATCATTCTTTACCTTTCATTAGCTCAATTTTTAGAGAAGGGCTCAAACTGTGTGAC